AAAGGTGAATCAATTGCATCAAAAAAAGAATTGAATAAAGTGGAATCTAGTAGTTCTAATAGTAGCAGATGGAGTTTTGGTAGTGCTTTTATTAGTGGCCAAGGCAGTTTAACTAACATGGTTGGATTAGGTACTTCAAAGAACCATACACCTGAAGCGTCAATTGCTACTCTTGATGGTATTAATAATTCGATTGAAGTAGATTCTGATGTGGAAGATTGTTTGGAATTTGGAATTGGTGTTTTTTATTTTATTGTATCAATTGTAAGTGAAGTATATTTTATGATCATTTTTAGATACGATTAATTAACTTCATCAATATTAAAAAAATTCTCCTAAATGTATAATTTTTTAACAGGTTCCTGGATCATTTTTATCAGTTCTTAAAGCCATTGGATTTAATGTTGATAGGGAAAAAGGGATTACAATGCTTGAAAATTGTTTTTCCCGTAATGGTGTTAGAGGTTAGAATAGATTTTATATATATATATATATATATATATATATATTAGCAAAAACTCCATTTTTTGCTATTTCTGATGTTTTTAAGTAAAATCTCTAACCCTATATATATATTAGCACCGTTCGCCGCGTTATTTCTACTTGTAAATTATCTTTTTCTGCCACGTGGGATTATTGATGCAAATATTTCATTAAATAGAGCCGGTTTAATTATTGAAGAATGTATCAAAAAATATCCGTACGTTTGATTAATATTAATTTATATATTGCTTATTGGCAAAATAATCATTAATAAATTATTTACAATAGAAACAGCCCACCTTTTTTATTTATGGCATGTCAACATGCAAGAAAAACCGGGCGTATTAAAGAGGCAATCAATTTTATTAATATTGGTATAAAAAGTTGTGAAAATGCTGAAGCGACCAGTACCAATTATAGATTTGAACTAGGAATAACGTATTTGGTTAATATGGATTTTTCTACTGCAAAAGACATATTTGAATTATTATTTTACGGTAATACGATTGTGTTCACCGGTAGCAAAGGATCAATTAGACTTCAAGGATCAATACATGGATCCGCTAGAATTAGATCAAAAGATGGCGGTGTTGGTAATAACAACTGCAAAAATAGTACCAAGAAGAAAGACAACAAAACAACTTTACTTCAACTTTTTGAATTTGAATTGAGACCATTTTGTGGCCTTTGTTTGGCTGGGTGTTATTTTATGGTTAAATTGGAAGATTATGCATTGAAAGAAGCCATAGACGTTTTAAAACAAACGAAGGCAATGACAAATCCTCCGTCTGATGATAATAATAGTAGTAGTGTTGCTGGTAGTATTGGATTATTTGGTACTAATGGAAGTGGATTTGGCGGATTTAGTGGTATTGGTGGTTCTGATAAAAAAGAACCAAAGGTATTTATTTATTCTTTATTTATTTTTTTAATTTATTAACAATATATTTATTATGATCTTTTTAAAAAATTTTTGTAGTCAAATCGTTATAATAAATTTGCGGGACGCTATTCGTCAAAATTCGTTGATAACAATTATGTTTCACCATTCTTGTTATTCACCATACTTTATTTAAGAAGAGAATTTTTTTATATGTCGTTAGAATTGAAAAAACGTTGGGCCAACATGTTAAATAAAATATGGAATGTAAGCAAACGTAATAATAAAAATATTAATGTTATTTGTTATTATTTGTCACGTTAAAGTAAAATTAATACTTGTTTTTTATGTAATAAAATCATAATTAGGATTTAAAAAAACCAACAGACACAGATACTTGTGCAGTTTATTTATTGTTCAGAGGGGTTTTTGAAAAATATTTAGAAAATGATCCTTTGATTGCTCAAGCCACATTTTTTGAATGTTTAACGATGGAAGTAGGTGTTGTGACAGAAACTTGGGTAATCCCGCACTGTAGATATGAGGTAATTTACATTTTATATGTGTTTGTGTTGATAATAATAATAAAATAAACATATGTTGTTGTCTTATTTTTTTTCAAAATAAAAAAAGCTTGGTGAATTGTTTTATAAACAAATCGATAACCAAGAAGCAGCAACTGAACAATTCAAATGGATATTAAAAGGATCAAGACCTACATCTCGCGGAGTTCTTATACCACGTAGAGATAATAATTTAAGTTTGGTTTCATTAACGTCTAAATCAAGTTTTGATTTAACTACAAGTACCACTTCTATTTCGATATCAACGAATCCTGATAAATTTAAGAAATACGAATTTTCTAGGACTCTCAAACAACGTTGTACTGTAGTGGTTGATCAGATTAAAAGTGGGACGTTATTAACACCATCTTCAACAAATGTCCAAAATAATAGCAATGGTGATGGTAGTAATAATAAGAGTTTTCATAATAGAAAGAAGTCAGGTTCAAGTTCAGGTTTATTGAAAGAAATTTATGAGCAACAGTTATTACAAAAAGTTATTTCATCACCAACAACAATATTAAAATCAAGTTCAAATAATGATGATGACTCTAATTATATTAAAGATAATAGAAACATCAGTAAAAAGAACACTGATAACAATAATGATAAGATTATTAATGAAACAGATATTAGTAGTAAGATTATTTCAACGTCAGTGTTTAAGAAAAGACATAAACAGAGATCTTTAAGTCTTCCACAACATGAAATTGAAACTGCTAGAGATATAATTATTAGTAGTAACAGTGGTAAAAACAATTCAAGTGGAAGCGAAGGAAAAGCAAAGAGTAAATTTTCGTTAGTATTTAAACTTAAATAACAATCTAAAATTTATTATTTATGAACAATTTAAAACAAATAAGGGCTTCTTTTTTAAAATGTATATATTAGAAAAAAGTTTGGCATTTACTTACAATGTTTACAATATACGTATTTGTAATATATATTTATTGGTTTTTTTTTTGTTTATTAAATATTACCATTACGATCATTGCTACCCCAACCACCGTTAACAATGTAAACTTTACCGGTGTGCATTGAAAATTTTCTTTTAGTATGACTCTGATTATCATGTGAATCAATAATTATAGTATTTCACCTAGCCAACAAGTTGGCAAGAAAGTCCAAATAGTTCCTAAAGTCGCCATGATTATACTTGTGGTTAGTAAAAATATATTCCAGACCAATTCTTGTTTAGAGAAAGCTCCACCAAACATTTTCAAATGACACAATAATGGAAATATTGCTGATATTAAAAAAGAAAAAAAAGAACCCAACAAAGACTATTATTTTCCATCGTCCCCCGAATACTTAAATGAGTATATATGTGTGTGTATGTATATATAAACATTCAAAATTATTTTTTTAATTTACCTACCATTGCTCTCTCAAACTTGGGAAAAATAATTGCAATTCCAAGAATCAATAAACTTAACGAAGTTCTACACAAAATAATAAGAATCTTTTTGGTGATTCCATGTTTAAACCACCGATTTATAAATGAGATTTTGAAAATGAAAAGTTCTATATTTAAGTTAATTGGTGTGATTGTTAGAGGATATTTAGATAATGGATTGATGACGATAAACCAAATCACAAGTGAATTGAAGAAATCATTATATCCCTTAGTAAGCATAATATTTTGTGTAATCTAAAAATCAGAGGTCGCAAATAAATATATCATCATCGTTGTCGTTGTAATAATCAACAAAAACAACACAACATCCTTACCTCAGGCATTGTTTCTTTACCAAACATCGCGTAACCAGATGCAGCGACTGTGATATAAATAACACTGGTGATAAGATAACTAACATTAATTATTTTATTATACTCGTTAGGTTTTGCCATATCTCTATAGAGAGAAGGAAACACTGCGTGTCCAGTAAAACCCGAATTAATTAAACCAAAGCTTAATGGTAAATAATTTAAATTTGGTGGGATTATATGTGTTTTCATTGGATTAAGAAGGCTTCCAGGCGAAGTAGGTTTAGTTAAACCGTCCAATATAATAACAGATGCCAATGAAGCGGTTGTAAATATTCCAAACATCGAGGTATAAGATAAAAAATGAATTGGTATCCATGTGAATGGTATGATAAAAAGTGTAGCTATGATTTTCAAAGTTGTTAAATCTGCACTGGGAAATAATATTTTCAAAGAGTCTCCAACTAAAATCAACAATGCAACTCTGAATCAAATAAAAAATTTTAAATAAACGAGCGAACAAACGAATGAGCAAATGATTCAAAATAACTTACGACGCGTTAAATAGGTCGAATAAAAAAATGGCACCTATAAAATATTTTCCCCTTATTCCATAGGCCAAATTTGCAATATCACTATATGTAATACATCTAGGATCATTATCTAAACATTTTTTTAGCGTTTTTGCCGTGTATTTAGTTTGAATTAAACAAAATAAAAAAATCATCAATCCCAATGCCCATCCGGAATACTTGAAGGCAAGTGGTAATGCTAAAATAGCAATACCCATTAAGATGTTCTATTGAAAATATATATGAACGTACGAATAATAATACATTCATTACAATATATATATATATATTTATTTATTTATTTACCACTGTATTGAATATAGTTTGCTTGGCTGTTGATTTTCCCAATTCAATCAAGGTTCGATAATCTTGAGTATCTTCTGATTCTTGAAAATTAGCTTGTTGATGTACCAATGGAGTTCTTTCATTTTGGGTATCATCATTAGAGGAATCTTCTACAGTACCATTATCGTTATTATTACCATTAGATTTTCAAGTAAGTTGTTATGTCTTCTATTAGAATGATATTTTCTGTGATATTTAAACTTTTAAAGATTTAAAACATGATTTCAAAAACCTGGTATAAAGTTATCGTTATTTATTAAAGACATTTATTATTATTGTATTAATATTTTTTAATGAAATTTTTTGATTTTAAAAAATTTATAGATAAATTATTTAAAATATTAATAATATTTAATCATGTGAAAAAATTATAACAATACAAAAACTAAACAATATGGATGCAGAAATTTTATATAAAAAGACTAGTTTTCATGTAAAAATGAATAAAAAATGAATAAAAATAATTTTGATAATAATAATAATAAAAAGTCGAAAAGGCTTGTTCGTACAAACGATGGCTGGAAGAGATTGTCACAAGATCAACAGAAAGAACGAGCAATTAAAAAAATTTCGTGGATAAATTCAAAAATCCATAATAATAGTAATAGCAATAATAAATTAGGAAGATTGATCCGTATTAATAATAATTTGTGGAAGAGAATAAATCAAGATGATAGAGAGTTTTTGGAAAATATCGACACAAATCAAATTGGAACCCTTAAAAAAGGTCAGAATGAATTTGAAATAAAATTTGTAAATTTTTTTGGCCAATCTCAACCAATTTAATTTTATAGCTGAAACTTTGACTATGCTATCATCCAATAATTATGATGATAAGAAGATACAAACAAAGTCTTTGTTTAAAAATGACAATGTTTGCATTATGCCAAAGAGAAACATGAAACAAACAATAAGTAAAAAAATTTTCTATAAATTCTTAAAGCGGTTTTTTCTTCCTTTTTAATTATATTTTTTTTTAAAAATTTTTTTTTTGATAATTGCTGACGATTATTATTATAATACGTGATTTATGGATTTTACAGAAAATTCTAACAATTCGACGATGCTAACATCGAGAGAAAAAATAAATAATTGTTTGTTAAGCTGCAAATTAGAAAAAAATACATTTTTACCTGTTGGTGTTGAAATAGCTGAAGATATATTTGGTTATTTGGATGTGGAAGATTTGATCTCTGTAAGTTTAACCTATAAGCCAGTGTCAAAATTTGTTTCAGAATCGGTAAAGTTATGGCAAGAAATATATCAACGTATATCATCAGAACATGTTAATATGATAATGAAACCTATAGTAATGGTACAGGCAATGATTTCACCAAATTCATCTCAAGCTATTATATGGAAACGTCAAGTATTTGAAAAATTGAAGTATAGACCATATTATGTATTATACTCGTATCTTGATGAATCAGATGATTTTACTTTGTTGTTTCTTGGTGCTTCACACGATTTCGATACTTTAGTTTTAGAAGCAGAGGAATATACTAGACAATATGACGATGACGATATTGTCTCAATTCACCCGAGCAGACCACCTAAACATATTAATCATGAAGGACAATTATATGATAAATTACAAGTTGGATATGACCGAGATTGGCGCGTAGCCATTGAAACTGTAAATACATTACTTGATCATCCGTTACGATTAAGGAACGCAGATAAAATTTTGATTGTTTACAAATATTCTGATGTAGAAAAAGATTTCGAATTTGAATTCTTGAAAATATACGATGATGAAAGTGATGCGATAAAATTCGCAAAGTCTTTATCAAATCCAGATAATGAATCATCGGAGGCAAAAAATTTTGATCATCGTGGTGAAATTTTTGATCGTGAGGATGTATCAAATAAAAACTTTAGAATTGCTGTTGATTGCGTGAAATTTTGGGGAAAAGTGCATACAGAAAAACAGTTATTTGGTGCTACTATGTATTTTGAAAGCGAAGATGAAGATCTAAATGAGGAAAGCATGGATATTGGTGACATTATGGAAGATGACGAATCGAATAGTCCTATTGAAAGATGGAAACAACGAGGCTATTTCGATAAATCTTGTGTTGATAAAATTCTTAAAGGATTTTTAGAACAATCTGCTGCTGCTACTACTACTACTAATAATAATAATAATAATAATAATAATAATAATAATAATAAAAGAACTTTTAAAACCGATTCCATGAGCATAAGTTTCGAAGAAAATTCTAATAATAGTAAACGTGGAAAATTTCATTAAGCGTTTGTATTTCAATTAAATTGATTCTAAATTAAAATAATTTTGATGATAATGATAATTGAAAACCAAGCGTTTTCTTCATGTAAATCTAAGATTATTTATTATATTTATATTTATCAAAATCTTTAATTACTATTTGCATGATGGTCATCTCTACCACCTCTACCACCCTTGCCACCCCTTCTACCTTGTAGGTAATAGTTATTATTTGGTTGATCATTATAATAATCTCCCGTTCTTTCACTATTATTACTCTGACCTTCTCTTGCACCATTTCTATTATTATTACCATTGATACGATGACCACCAACAGCCCCACCTCTTCTACCTCTTCCTCTTTGATAATTATTAGATTGTTTATTTTGAAAATCGAAAGAAACATTATTATTTTTATCATTTGAATAATTATTGGTTATGTCAGTTGGTTGAGTTTTAATTGTGGAAGTGGGTTCGTTTTTTATGTTATTTATATTAATATTAGTAGTATTATTGTTATTTTTAACAATATTTTCAGCTGGAGGTGTTAGTAATTGTTGATTTGTTTTTTCAATTTTAAATGGAATAAATGGAGGAGGACCATCATATCCATCATTTTTTTTATTGCCATCAACTTTAAGAAACTGTTAATTTATCAAATAATAATATAATAAAATGTTAATATGTAATAATTAACATACATATTAATACTAAAATACCTTTTGAACTTGCCATTCTCTAATCATCTCCTCCACCTTGCCACCCAAATTTTCCAATAATCCTGGACCAAGAAATAATATATTTTCTTGGATTTTTATAGGATTCTTTACCATAAATTTAGTACCTGGCGGTGTATTTAAACTAATTTCAAATAAAAAATAAATGAAATGAATTCTTTGAATGAATGGATTAAATGTGTTATATTTTTTACCTAACATTTTCAACTTTTCCTAACATTTCAACACCTTTAATTTTTTTAATACCGTCAGTTAATGTCAGTTGTAATAATCTAGGTATTTCACGTTGATCTTGTAAAGGTGTTGAAAGGTTGATTATTGAAAGTAATTGTAATACTAATGGACCCGATATGTTTTTAGCATTTGAGAAATCATTTTTAAAGGCACCACGTCCGATTCTTCTAAGATCTTTCTATTGGAAAAAAATCCCAACCATTAATAATTCAATTGAAATATATATTATTTTAAAAATAATAACAATAACTATCGTTATTATTTACATTCAAAAGTTCTTTAATAATATCATTATGTGTTAATTGTTCTGTCTCAAGAATATTTTGTAAATCAATTAAACCTTTATCATTCAAGATCCTTTTTTAATATTATATATAATAAAATTATATATAAATAATACTAAACAAACGTTTAGACTTTATTAACTGTCTTACCTACCAACCCAAACTATCTAAATGAATTTTTAGTTCCTCGGACATTTTTGAAAAATTTTATTTGACGATCACTTCTTGAAAATATATACAAAGTAATACAGTCAGACCTCCATAAATGCACCCCCCTTGGGACCAAGAGACAGCGTGCATTTATGGAGGGTGTGCATTTATG